TATAGGTTTATATTATATAGATCTTTAGTGAATCTAGAGAAAGAGTTCAGATCTTGCTCGATTTTCATCTTATCTATTCTTTTTTATTATTGTTTTTTTTTCTTTTTTTTTTTTTATTAACTCTACCATCATATGCATGTACATTTTCTTTCAATTAAATTAGATCTCCATTTTTAAATTTTCCTATTTTAAATGTAATACATGGTTAGATCATTGAAACATGCATTCAAAAATATATCGCGGTCTAATGAAAGGAGAAAAAAAAAGAAAAAAAGAAAGAAAAAAGAAAGAAGAAAAAAGAAAGAAGAAAAAAGAAAGAAGAAAAAAGAAAAATTAACGTATGAGATTATATGGGTCATCCATCCTATCAAAGCCTCCGAACATTAGTCATTTAACTTGGCCTTGTATCATGGATCATCTATTAAGATCACAATAGATCATGATCTCTCAACCTCGAATATGTTGTGTATCCATTAAATTTCAATGGTCTATCATAATATAAAATCGAATAAAAATTAAAAAGAAATATATATATATATATATATATATATTTATTTATTATACATACAAACATATTATGGGTCACCCATTTTATCAAAGTACTCGTCTACATTAGTCGCTTAACATTGTCCTTGGATCATCGATCATAGTCTCGATCATAATAGATCATGATAGATCACAAACGTCGTGCGCGTCTGAATATTAAATAATTAATTTATGTATCTATGATCGGTTAAAAACAAACTCTTGGTTGGTTCGAAAATAAAAAAGAGAGAGAGAGAGAGAGAGAGAAGGAAGGAAAAGAAATAGAAGAGATGAAATAAAGAAAAGAGTGGAAAAAAAATAAGTTGTGTCCACGTTTAATACTAATAGTTAGAGTCTTGAGCGAGGCGTCGAATGGCGCGACGACGACGACGACGACGACGACGACGACGACGACGACAACGACGACGACGACGACGAAGGCGACGGCGACGGTGACTATGACGGCAACGGCGTTTCGTTGTTCGTCGTGCATCGTGTGTTTCTTGGACGACGTCCAGCTTTGGTATCTCGAGTAAGATTGCGCCGATTCGACGGCTTGCCCCCTTGATTCTTTAATGCCACGATCCCTAAGGAACTATTCGCTTGGCGTCGAATCAACGAAAGACGACATGCACACAAACGCATACATATACATACATACATGCACACACAATTGCATAAACACTTTCGCCTCTGTGTTGCTTAGATTAATCGCAACTAGAGATTCCAATTCGTGATGTGGAAACAATCTCAACATTTTTCTTCTGTTTTTACTTCTCCTTTTCTTTTTCTTCTTATTCTTCTTCTTTTAATTCTTTTTTCTTTTTTTCTTCTCTTTCTTTCCCCCCCCCCCTTTCATTTTCCTTCTTTTTCTTTACGAGAGAGAGAAAGAGAGAGAGAAAGAGGGAGAGAAGGGGTTGAAAGGCAAGAAGGTTAGATAGGGTAAAGAAAAATCAAATAAATTATCCAAGATATTATTCTTTATTACAAAATCTACGATCTCGAATTGAAAATCTTTCCTTGAAGTTGAAAAGAATTCTAATTGTTTGCGCGTTGAGTATCATCTGTAATCCATAGAACAAGTAGAACGATTGAAAGTGAATCGTAAAGCAAACGAGCTCGTGAGAGTCTCCTTAAATCCCTGATTACTGTGTGTCATAACTTGCTCGTCATTCTGATTGTTCGGAGCTTCATTTATGATTCGTTCAATTCGACGAAGATAAATATTCTTTTCTTTTCCTTCTTCTTTTTCCTTTCTATTTTTTTCTGTTCTTTTTTTTTTTCTTTCCTTTTTATATTTTCTTTTTCTTCTTCTTCTTTTATTTTATTTTATTTTATTTTATTTTATTTTTTTTTCTTTTTTCTTTTTTTTTTTTTTACGGGACAATACTAACTCCTCAACATTTCGAGATAAGATTCTTATCGCTCGTGTGCATATATACATATGTATTAGATTGGTCAATAAGTAAATTTTTTTTACTAAAAAAATTCCGACATAAATTTATGTTGGCTAACCCATAATTTGTTAGCATCTGGAATATTATGTATAACGTATATTGTAATAATTATTTTATTTATTTCAATATGAAATATTGAAAATTTCAATTATTATTTTATTAGGGAAATTTTTATCATAAATATAATATAATAAATGATATTTATTTAAATTATTTATTGAAAACAATGGACAATAAATAATGTCGCTGCGTTATGTTTAATCTATTCTCATATATATATATATATTTAACGTTGGAAATTTTAATGATACTTATTAATTAATTGAATTAATTTATGATTGCTAAAATGTACCGACTTTATCTGATCTTGATGAAAACCCTTAGAAAATGGTAGTCTTCGATCGTCATTCATTAACTTAGGTATTCGGTAAACGACTCAATACTAAAAACGAGGTCTCGGTGGACACGCGAATGCATGCAAATTTTTCTTACACCCAACCTCTAGTCTCTATATCTCAAGCCGTAAAGTCAAGGTTTTGCATGTCGCCTCGTTTTCGCGTGACGTAGATGCCGGGCTTTGCCTTTTCTAAGCATTTCGATCCTTTGAAATTCATTTTGTAGGTATGTAAGAAGTCAAGTTGTTGAAACTCGTCCGATCTCGATTCGTTCTTTCACCCTCATCCCCATCCCAATCCCCATTCCCGAACTCCCGTCTTCTTCTTTTTGTTTTTTTTTTTATTTATTTATTTATTTATTTATTTATTTATTTTTTTTTTTTTGTTAAACGATAATTCTTTCAGATAACTTTCATTTACGTTCTTTTTTTTTTTTTCTTTCTTTCTTTTCCCTTTGATATATTTTCACGCAATTGCAAGGACGACGTCTATTAGATTAGATTACGAATGTACAATATGATTGCTAATCCCTTTTACGATGTACTTTATTTGTTCAGAAACAAAAAATGATAATCATAATCATAATAATAATAATAATAATAATAATAATAATAATAATAATAATAATAATAATAATAATGTTATGAAAAAAGAGACTTATAATATCTTATTCGTTGGAATTGCTATAGTTGTTAAGAAATAAACTACTTGTTATCGATGATCGTAATTTAGATAATTTCATTTTTCTTTTCGTATCTTCGTATAACTTATTTCTATGAAGTACGATACTTCTTAAGGAAAAATTAAATTTTTTACTTATTAGATTTATCACGTTTCATATCTATACTATAATATTTCATAAATAATTTTTCAATTGCTTGTTACTTACTTTTTCCTTCTTTATATATATATATATATTATTTTTATTATTATTATTATTATTATTATTATTATTATTATTATTATTATCAGCTAAATATTGTATATAAAATAAGACAAGGATGGAGAGAAAATTTTGATTAATTTAATTTGGAAGAATTCATTTTTAATCGTATAAATTAATCCGTCCGATTTATCGATCATATATCTAATCGTTCATTGAAATTATCTAATTTGTTTTCGATGAAAAATAAATGGGGTAAAAAAAAAAAAAAAAAAAAAAGAAAAGAAAAAGAAAGAAAGAAAGAAAGAAAGAAAGAAAGGATAATAAGAATGATAATTTTTGAAAAAGTGCTCATCAATGTTTTTCATTATGACCGAACGAACGATCAAAACAAACGATTTTCTATGCTCAATTCAAACAGCATGGTATAAAAAAGCCATGAGAAGAGTAAGTTGGTGCAGGTCACCGAGCTGGTCGCTGACCCTCACTCGCTTGCAAGCTCTTGTATAATAAACCAAATTCGATCGTACGTCCGACGACGTTGCTAGAACTCTTCCTAGATCTCTCAGCGGGTTTACGCGTTCTATCGAATGAGAAGAGAGAAGTGTATATAGAACGTATGTATATATATATATATATATATATATATATATAAAAGACATGGACGTATGACACGAAATATAACACAAAGCAAAAAATGTTGAGCTACTTCCTCTATATCCCTTTCTTTTCATTTCTTTTTCTCTTTTTCTCTTTTCTTTTTTTTTTTCTTTTTTTTTTCTTTTTTTTTTTTTTTATATCAAGGATACGTTTCTTTTCCTTTGATATCATTCTACACAATATATGTAGTTATCTAAGTATATACATGCATATATAGCATATACCTTAGTATCGAGCCAAAGTAAGTACCTTGGTACCTTTGCCTAGATACGTCTGGTAACTCACTTTTACTTCCATAGCTACGGATTAGCGTATTTATAATGCATTTGCAAGCATATCTTATATGTTTGCAGTAACGATGTTATCCAAGTAACCGAGTATTACATATGTGCACGCTCATTTAGACTTGCTAATATACCACCACCAAGTCGTATATTTTCACGTCATTATTCCTATCGTTCCCTTTTTCGTTGCCTTTACTTTTTTTTCTGTTTTATTTATTTTTTTTTTTTTTTTTTTTTTTAAATTACCGACGATTTTTTTTCTTTTGTCTATTTTTTTTTTTTTTTTTTTTTTTTTTTTTAATTATTATTCTTGTTGTTGTGCGGGGCAAAGGAGTAAAGGGTAGGATCTTATCGTTGTCTATATATATATTTTTTTTTCCTTTTCCTTTTTTTTTCCCTCTAAAAGTAAACATTTACGAAATATTTTAAGTAAATACGTACATGTAAATATAAAATACTGTGAGATAGAGAGAAGGAGGGAAAGAGAGAAGGAGGGACAGAGAGAGAGAGAGAGAGAGAGAGAGAGAGAGAAGAGTGGGGGAGAAAAAAGAGAAGAAAAAAAGAAATGGAAAGTTCGAAGCGAGCCCTTCGAAGGGCACGTGCTTTAAAGCGTTCACGCTATATACGATAACGGAATATTTGCCGCGCTTAATGCGCTTTTGAATCGTTGAGTTATCGCGTGCTCGCGATGAATGAAAAGCACCCGTTAAATATAGTCACCGAGTTAGAATTAGAACGGAGTCTCGAAGCCAAGGAAGGAACGTTTTTATATATATGATATATATGTATATATATATATTTATGTATATATATATATATATATATATATATATGTATATATATGTATTTGTGTGTGTATGGACGTTCGCGTTCTTGCGGCAGTGTGGCACCCTGTCAGACGTCGCGTATATCGGTGTTATATATCGAACGGCTGGCTTATCGGCTTCAAGAATCCATGTTTACGTTTGCGTTTTATGCTGACAAGTGCGTGTACGATTAGAACGACATTACATGTTAGTCCGATAGCAGGTCAATTCGCTCTAGTCTAGCGCTAAGTATCTTCTCTTTTCGTTCGTCTCTTTTATTTCTTCGTTCGTCTAACAGAGATAACAAATATTACAATTTCTTTTTTTTTTCTTTTTTTTTTTATCGTTCATAGAAAAATTCCAATTTAATGATTTCGATCGATTCGAATAAATGAAATATATACAAATTTATATTCGTTATGCAATTCTTGACTATATTGCTTCGTTTCTTTTTTCTTTTTTCTTTCTTTCTTTCTTCTTTTTTTTTTTTTTTTTTGTTTCCTCTTTTTTCCTTTTTTTCTCCTCACCTAGATAAGTACGTAATTATTCACCGACTAGTGAATTAATGATAGCATGAATGAATGAATTAATTGGGAAAGAGGTAATGTAAATTTAATTATTATTATAATAGGATAATATAGAAGGAAAATTGTATGGGTTTTTTGTTTTTGAGTGTTATGAAGAATAAAGGGAGAGGGAAAAAGAAGTAGGAGGTGGGATGAAATGAATTCGTTGTGTCTCTTGTGTTTGACATTTCTTTTCTTTTCTTTTTTTGCTTTTTTTTTTTTTTTTTTTTTTTCCTTTTTTTTTTATCAGCAGATTTAAGAAAGTTTGTCGAAAGAGAGAGAGAGAGAGAGAGAGAGAGAGAGAAAAAGAGAGAGAGAGAGAGAGAGAGAGAGAGAGAGAGAGAGAGAGTGTGCATTATCTGAGTATGTCCAATCAGTAATTGTATCGCATACATTCGACGATTATCCTATCGCAGAAAATATTCCAGAATAATAAATGTGCGATAATTAATTGCTACTTATGCGGTTTACTATCTCTCCGGTCATTATTCACTTAACGATCATTTTTTAATGAACGAATCAGTAAAACCGCAGTTTTTGCTGACATTCTTCGGTCGAATGCAAAGTCGATTAGCGTGAGACCATTTTCTTCTTGGATTAAGATAAACTCAAATGTAAAATAAATTCGTTCTTCTTATCCTTTTTCCCCACTTCTTCTTCTTCTTCTTCTTTTTTTTCTTCTTCTATTTTTTCCCCCCCCACTTTCTTTTTTCCTTTTCTTTTCTTTTTATTATTATTATTATTATTATTATTATTATTATTATTATTATTATTATTATTATTATTATTATTATTATTATTATTAATTTCGTCCCGATCGAAACGAATGAATCGAATACTTTTTCGTAACGCGCAAGAAGAGCTTTCGCCTGCGATCATCAACGTTAACTTCATATTTTATACATCCCCTTTAGTAACTTATGCGACCGTGAAATTAATGTCTATATTTATCAGCGTACTTAGCGAGGGAAAAGAAAAAAAATTCTCCTGAAAGAGAACAAGCGAACGAGAGCTGACGAGCTACATACCTATCATCTAGCTAGCTAGTTAGTTGACTATCTGTAGCTAGAGTTCTTTTTTTTTTTGTTTTTCTTTTTTTTGTTTTTTTCTTCTTTTTTTTTTTTCTTTTCTTTTTTTGTTCTTTTTTTATTTTTTCTTTTTATTTTTAGTTAACCAACAAAATCCATTAGGAGAAATTCCGTGATAAAATTTAGATTCGAATTTTGTCGCGCGATTCATCGTGCTAATTTTTTGTTTTGTTTTATTTTGTTTTGTTTTGTTTTGTTTTGTTTCTTCTTCTTCTTCTTCTTCTTTTCTTTCATGGATTTCACACGTTGAGCGAAAAGGAGAAAAGAGCGGAGTGAAAAAAATCGTGAATAAGAAAAATAACGATATAAACAGGACACAACGCGGACGAATCGCACGTGTTTTCTTTCTTTATTATTATTATTATTATTATTATTATTATTATTATTATTATTATTATTATTATTATTTTCTTTTTTTTTTTTCTACGTCTTCGCACGGCTCGCGCGATAAAAGGGAGCGTGAAAGAAGGGAGAGATACGAAGTTAAGGTAAACCTTGTTTGTAACAACCTGCTAACGCGATGCTCGAACGCGCACCCTTTGTTTAACCGGCATGACAACTTTGCGATACGTAAGCGAGGGCTAACTTGCGGAAAATGTATTCAATCAAAAGGAATTTGCGAAACGAACGACGACGTTGATGATATGGAACGTCGTTTATAAAGATAAGATCTATCTCGATGGGATTGATAATTTCAACATTTTTTTTTTTTTCTCTTAACCTTTTCTCTTCTTTTCATTTCTTTTCATCGTTAATTATCATCCTCCTCTTTTTCTTTATTTTCCTTTAATATCGAACGTTCGAAAAAAAAAAAGAAAAGAAAAAGAAAAAAGGAA